GTTGTGAGATTGTTAACCATTGTCATAGGGTAACGTGTAGTAACTGTTAAATGAGAAACTATTTTGTTCTGTAAGCCTTCATCTTGAGAATAGCAGCACAATTGGAAGAGCGTAGTCAGTGTCACTGAACTGTGCATGTAGAAATTTTTGAAATGGTGTGTCTTTGGCTATGTGTATTTTCACCAAAAAAAAAGGTTGAGGAGTTAGACGGTTGACATGTTGTGGGGTTGTTAACCAATGTCATAAAACAATATGTGTACTACTGTTTCATGAGAAACTGTTTGTTCTGTAAGCCTCCACCTGAAGTACAATTAAAAAAAAAAAAGGTTTATGACCTGGTACACTGTTTAAGGTCAAATAATGGAATTTTAAAATTGCAACTTTTTTTTTTTTTTAAAGAAACTTGGGGAAGATGAAGAGGAACTATCTGAATTACAGCTTCGTCTTTTGGCTCTTCAGTCAGCTAGTAAAAAATGGCAACAAAAAGAACAGCAGGTGATGAAGGAAAGCAAAGAAAAGTTGACTAAGACGAAAACCGTACAGCAAAAAGTTAAAACCAGTACAAAAACACATTCGGCCAAAAAAGTTAGCGCTACAGGTGATCATTTCTGTTAAATTCTTTTCATTGATTTCATATATCAGTATAGGTTCTAGATATATATGATAATGACAATAATTTTTAAAGCTCCTTTTATCTCCTAGAAAGTTCTAACATTGTATTATACTGGTGTTTCTGTATTTCTCATTTAAAGCTAAGCAAGCCTTGCGGAAGCAGCAAACAAAGGCGTGGAAGAAATTACAGCAACAAAAAGAACAGGAAAGACAGAAAGAAGAGGATCAGAGGAAACAAGCTGAAGAAGAAGAGAGAAGGAAAAGAGAAGAAGAAATCAGAAAAATTCGAGATCTCTCAAATCAGGAAGAACAGTACAATCGATTCATGAAACTGGTCGGTGGAAAGAGGCGATCAGGAAGTAAAGTGAGGAATGCAAAATAGTTTTATCCAAAGCAGCAGCGTATTTTAAAAATAAAATCATGACATTACTCGTATTTAAGTGTACTTATAGGCTCGGCTGCCAAACAAAAGGTCAGCAGTTCGAACCCGTCAGCCCCTCAACGGGACAAAGATGTGGCAGACTGCTTCCGTAAAGATTTATAGCCTTGGAAACCCTATGCAGCAGTTCTGCACTTCTTCCCTGTCCTACAGGGTCACTATGAGTCTGAATCAACTTGAAAGCAGTGGGTTTGGTTTTTTGGTTTATAGTCTTACTTCATAGATTTAGCCACTAAGAAAAATGATAAACATCTTATGTTTGATGTTGTTGTTAGGTGCCACTCAGTTGATTTCAACTCACAGTGACCACATGTGACAGAGTAGAATTGCCCCATAGGGTTTTCTTGGCTGTAACCTCTACAAGAGCAGATTGCCAGGTCTTCTCCTGCAAAGCTGCGGGGTGGGTTCGAACTGCCAATCTTTCAGTTAGCAGACGAGTGCTTAACCATGTGCCACCAGGGCTCCTTATGTCTGATATAGCTTATTATATAGTTCTTTTGGGGGAGAAGGGGAGGTAGGTTATAATTGGGAATGAGTCTTTTGTAGTTATAGATATTAGAATAGAAGGAAGACTAAAATTGGGGTTAATGAAAACTGTTTTTAGCTCTTTCATCATTCTCTATTTAAAAGTAAGTAGGATTACTACATTCTAGTGAGGATTTATTCCAAAAATGACTGTTCCCTCAGTACAGAAGTAGAATTTCATTAGTTTTTCATAGCTTAGTAATGTAGAATCAGCAATGTAAGTGCGAGATTAATTGGTTTGGACTGTCTTAAAGAATGTTGTTAAATCACCACATAGTACTGGCATATGTGTCATATGTTACTAGTAGTCATATAGTAGTAGTAGTGTTTGTGGCTACTTTATATTATCAAGTATTTGTTGAGCATTTATTATGTATAAGTCATTGCTAATGACAGAGTAAGTCATTGTTTTATAGATAGTATCACAAAGCAAACCACCAGTTTACTTTTGATCTAGTGCTATTATCAGTGACAGTTTTCAAAATTTTGAGCTTCAAGAATAGAAGGATATTAAAGAGTAAAAGAAAAAGCTCTTTAATTGAAGGGAGCCAGGAGTTACATTTGCTTAGGCAAGGAATATTATAAATATTCATACTTAGAACTTACAACAAGCACTTTGATAAACTTTTTCTAGAGATAATTACTGTATTCTTTTTACATTACTCTTTTATTTTCATCTAGATAGGTTTTGCTGGGTTTTAGTTTGTTATGAAACAACATACAACACACATCAAAACATACAGACTCAGAGTTTCTAGTATTTAGCTATCATTAATTTATTCATAATTAACATTGATGTTACTGGATTCTTTTTGAAATATTCTAAAATCTTGATGAAATAAAATTTACATTTATTCCTTTAGTTTCTTATTGATAAAGAGACCATCAGATGTTCAAAAGCTTAGTGTCATTTTATAGAGGAATAGCTGATTACTTAGCAGCTCAGTTAACTGAGAGATATCACTTGTCTAGATAGTATTTGCTAGGTTCCATTCATCTGTCTGATGATTCAGTTATAAAATGTCAAGGACAGTATACTTGTCATGTAAATCAAATTTCCCAAATCAAATGTGATAGACGAGTCTAAGTAGACCACTATGATCTCTGATACTGTTCCCTAGAAGGTAACTGTCAATTGTTTTCTGATTTCTGCCTGAGGAAGAGCCTAAGACTGAGTGCTTTGAAACCAAAAAACTTGTTGTGTACTTAGTCTTCAGATCCTGACCTGAGGCGATCCTTAGATAAGCAGCCTACTGATAGTGGAGGAGGCATTTATCAATATGATAACTATGAAGAAGTTGCTATGGATACAGATAGTGAAACCAGTTCTCCAGGTAAGAGCCAAAATGTGAAACTTTTGTGTATTCATAATTATTAGATAGCTAATGGTCACTTAGTTACCCAAACTTTGTAAAGAAGTACGTAATAAAAGTGAGATTTAGTAGTAGATTGTACAACCCTAGACATTATTTGGTTCTGTAAATACTTAGGGAACAGACCTCAAATATGTAATATTAACCTTTATTTCCAAGTATTTCTTTTTAGACAGCCTTAAAAAAATTGTTTAAACTTTACGTAAAGGTCACTATTTGTTTGATCTAAAAAGTGAAGATTGTGAGAGATGGAAACACTGCTCTTAAAAAAAACAAAAAACTTTGATCTCTTAAGTATCTTTTTATCTAAGATACTTTGTGTTTTAGTGAGAGGAAAAAAAGTCTTTCTTGCTTTTAGTCTTCCTATTTCCTTCCAGTGTTGATAAATTGTAGCAATTTGGAGATGGAAAGTGATACCAGTGGCATCTCAGAAAAGGCTGGTTAGAACTGATCAGGGCTGTTACCTAAATTAGGGTGCATGTCCCAGATCTGGCTTTTGTCTTTGAGAGCCAGAGACTTGCTTTTGTTTATGATCAGGAATGACTGGCTGTGAGAGATATATTCTGTAATTAATTAAAACATATGAGACTTAGGCTGTTAACAGAATGCAGTTAACATTGAGATACATGAGTTGTAACTATTTCAGACTTACTAAAATGTGAAAAAAAAAGTGCACCTTATCGGTGAGATGCAGTAGGTAGTGCTTTTCGTTCCTGTTTCGTACACTACTTATATAGTTCCATTTCCTCACTTTCTTTGCTCCACATGAGGGGAAGAATGGAGTCACCTTATCACTCTTTTCCTTCTGTTAGGCCACTCCAGCAGAGTCCTGGGGAATTGTTTTTCATTTTATTATTCTTTAAAAAGCGTGTTTGTGGCCTTTCTTGCTCTATTCCCTGCTGTCATCCTTAGATGAAAAGTGGAACAAAGTAGAGAGTTTTTAGAGACTAAATGCTAACTTAAGTGAATAACTTTTTGATGATAGAAGGGTAATTTAAAGAAATGGAGGTGGTCTCATAGAGGTTAAAGATTTTATTAGAGTTTGATAAAATCTAAAGTGTACTCTACATAGATATATTTATTTCTTTAGACATACTGTAGCATTTACTTTTTCCTTTAAGTATTTCTCTGACAGTTTTTTTTTTTTTTTTTTTTTAAATAACAGTTCCTTCACCGGTGCAACCACCATTTTTTTCTGAATGTTCATTGGGGTATTTTTCTTCAGCATCATCTATTTCTTTGCCTCCACCACCTCAGGTTTCTGTAAGTCTGAATTGATGTGATTTCTAAGAAAATCCTCTTGTTATATTTTGTCTTTTCTAATTTGTTACCTGTCTTTTCTACTTTGTTTTTGAAAAACTAGCATGTAATTAATGAATGATTAGCTTTAAGAGGGATTTAAAAATCAGAATTGCTAACCAAAACTAAAAACTATGAGAGCTGTAGAATAAATAGTTGGTATTTCTAGCAGGCTGTGCATTTGGTTGGTTTTTCAGAGCTAATCTCATAGCTGTTTTCTTTCAGTACCTGGCATGTTTCCTTCTTTCTTCTTTTTTTTGTGTCTCAGGGAGTTGTTACTGTTGTTAGGCTCCATCAAGTCAGTTCTCAGCTAGTAGTTTCTCAGAAAATTTAATCCAAAGCAGAATAGAATTATCTGTTGTTTTGGAGATTTAAGGATGCTTTGAGATTTAGGAGGCTTCCAAAAATTAACTCTCCTTTCTTCCGTTTTGATGAGAGCACAGTTATTTTTAACTTAAAAATCAAGCCAAAGGAAAACATTGCCTGTGGAAGTCGATTTCTTTTTCCCTATTTTCCTCTTAGATGAAATTCCCATCCCCCATTTAAAAAAAGAGAGGGGCAGGAACTAGCAGTCAGGGAGAATCACAAGGTAAAAGTTCTCAAGTTATTTCTAGGTTTGAGAGGACCTAGAGACCAAACTGAATATCTCTCAATAGGTAAGAGGGAACCTTGCCATTTCACAGTTCTAGGTAGACGTCTGGTGTCTTCCTAGGAAGCTTATGGTGAGAGTAATCTTAGAGCATAGAGACAAGAGAGAGAGAAATGGAAATATTTTCTTTTGGGAAATGGAGAGTGAGCGAGCTAAATGCCAAGAAAAATACTGAAAGATCCTTGAAGCAAAATCTCCAAAATCAGAGATTTCTGTAAAATTAGTTTTCTTTACAGACAATTTTTTAAAAGCCTCATCACAAGGATTTAAAAGACTAGTGATGCTTGTTCTTGACACTTAGTTCTTAACGTTTTTTCTTAAATATGATAAAATGTTCTTAATTTTCAATAAGTCTACTTGTTTCCAGGTAATTATCTAGAGGGAAAGACCATGTATAATTTGATTTCTGTGTCTTACAGAATGCTAAATGGGGATAAGAAGGAGAACAAAAAGTTTTTATGATTACCTTGAAGTTCATAAGTTAAATGTTTCAATTTTTTTTTAATTGCAAAATAATGTCTTTTTCATGGTTGAAGATTGAATTCTGCGTTAGTTTTGAGATTTCCAGTATACTTAGTTCACTTCTCCTTCCAGCTAAAATAATAACCTAAATTTTAACCTTTTTCTAATTTAATATTATTCCAGAGATAAGCATTTGGAGTTCATAAAATCTGCATCATAATTATTATTTCTTTTTAAAAAATAACTAGTCTGTGCCACCTCTGAGCCAGCCTTATGTGGAAGGCTTGTGTGTTTCTCTTGAACCTCTACCTCCTCCACCACCTCTACCACCTCTCCCACCGGAAGATCCAGAACAGCCTCCAAAACCACCTTTTGCAGACGAGGAAGAGGAGGAAGAAATGCTGCTTCGAGAAGAGCTACTTAAATCTCTAGCAAATAAAAGAGCTTTTAAGCCAGAGGTAATTTAGGTTCTTGGACCTAAATTGGTTGTGCCCTGGAGCTTAGTTTTAGGGTAGGCCTGTTCTTCACTGCTTACTTAGGATTCACTGGGCTTTTTCAGCAATGAAGGGATAAGTCTAATAAATAATTTGCTCAAGATTTTTAAAAGATTACAAAAATTTCTTTATCCTTAAAAATGTTTTCTTTTTCTTATTTAGGAAACATCTAGTAATAGTGACCCACCTTCACCTCCAGTTCTGAACAATTCACAGCCTGTGCCAAGAAGCAATTTAACAATAGTCAGTATTAATACAGTATCTCAGCCTAGGGTACAGAATCCAAAGTTTCACAGAGGACCTCGTCTTCCACGAACTGTGATCTCGGTAAAAACGAACAAAAATATTTAATGCTTCTGTTACTTAAATAGCTTGTGAGAAATTTGTATGAAGTTTTGCTGTTCTGTTCCTCCCCACACCCTAATATATACTTATGTTCATATATGATCATAAATATTAATTTTTATTCTTTATAATTTTTTATTTATTAATGATGAAATGAAAGCAGCCAGCTTCTTCATTTGAAAACTGGGTTTGGTGATAATGTTTTTGGGGAAGCATTATTCTCATCAGAATGGTATATATACTTTTCCACTTAATTTTTTTTCTGTAGAAATCAGTCCATTCAGATTTTCTGTCTTTTTGGAGTCAGTTTTAGCAAATTATTTATTTTTGCTTTTTCCCTTTTTTGTTTTTACTTTGCTAATATTTATCTAATCAATGAATATACTATAACGGAAAAACATATTTATGATATTACCAATGTTTAGGATATTGAAATGATAGTTTCTCTCTACCTTGTTTTCTAATGTCTAGAAATATAATAAATGGAGCAAAGCCAAACTGAAATCTTGCTTGTGTTAAGAAAGCCAACTTTGCCCAGTTACCCTTTATATGTAACCACAAAAACAAAAAAGTTTTGTTAATAATTATGTAGAATTATTTTTTAAATGTTTTTGTTTTGTTGTAAAGGTATTACTTAATTTAGATGGCATGATGATTCTTCATAGAAAATAAAAATGAGGAAGGTGATTATAGTAGTGTCTTAAAAGACTTTAAGAATATTTTATATTTTTGGCATATAGCTAGTGTTGTTGGAGTGGGACAAAATCAGTTACATAATATAACCAGAAGGAACCATGGACTATCTACTTGGACATTATTATTTTTCTAAGTTGCAGTTCAGAGAGGTTAAGTGATATACCCAAGGCCGTGCAGTTAGTTGTGGTAGAGCCAAGAAAAGAAAGGAGATACTTTTGTCATTGAGAACAGCAAATATATTATCTTTACAGCTTCCAAAACATAAATCAGTGGTTGTAACACTAAATGACTCAGATGATAGTGAATCTGATGGAGACGCTTCCAAGTCAACAAATAGTGTTTTTGGTGGATTAGAGTCCATGATTAAAGAAGCAAGGCGAACTGCTGAGGTAAGTGCAATGGTGAAAGATAAAAGGAAAGACGATTTGTTTGCAGTCTTTTAAGTTTATTTTCCCTGAAAATTAGGCCTTAAACATAGAGATTTTAATGTATGAATTGTGGAAATATTTTAACTATTTGTAGTGTTAGAATTATATACAATGAAGTATGTATAAATTTAGATAAATGTAACTACTAAATATTCCCTTTTTGTATTTACATTTGACTAGTGCCTTTTTCAAAATATAAAATTGGGTGGATAATTGTCCTCTGTGCTAAGGAAATTTATTGTTATTTTGGAATTACGTTACCAGTAAACCGTTCTTATTAAAGTGTGTGATCTAAATACAACTTTTATCCCTATTCCTATTGCAACAGTTGTTAAATGTAATTTAGTTCAGTATTTTTCAAGCTGTATGTCTTGACTGCTTTGTGGATTGTGCAGCTTGGTGGCTATCAAACAACATTGTATTTTTCAAAAAATTGATGATGAAAATAAATATGTAGTTACAGGTAGTCCCCGACTTACAATGGGATTCCATTCCGATGACTCAGTTGTAAGTCAGTTCTGATGTAAGTCAAATACGTCTTTTTTTTTTTTTTTTTTTTTTCAGTTTTCATTATTATCGCCTTTTATAATCACCATCTTTATAAATCTGATCTTTATTTGTCTTTGGGGATTGGAAACATTACATATAAACTTAGAAATATAGTTTAACATTGTATGTAGTACATATTACTAACGATAAGATGCACAAAAAAACCAAAAAACAGACGGTTGTGAGTGTGGTTTGTCATAACTTGAATACATCATAAGTTGGGGACTACCTGTATTTAGAAATAATATAAATGTGTACTGGGTTGTCGTGTAAAATATAAATCTCTGTAGCGTTATTGAAAGCTGTTGATCTGGCTAACTTCACATGTTTTCTAGCAAGCTTCAAAACCAAAAGTACCTCCAAAATCTGAAAAAGAAAACGATCCTATGCGAACACCTGAAGCTTTGCCTGAAGAAAAGAAAATTGAATACAGATTGTTAAAAGAAGAGATTGCCAAGTAAGTGGCATTTTACGTAATTAACTTTAAAAGTAGGTGCTGTTTTCAATACTTTCCTTTAGTCTATATAAAATTTAATGATATTGGGAAATAAATGATGCAGTTTTATCCTAGATGCAGAGTGACTGTTTTTATAACTCACCCAGGAGGGGGAGCCAGATGATCATCTATAATGTTGAATGCAGTGAGATGTAAACAGCTTAGGAAAAGATAAAAGCACTCAGAGAAGAACTACATTGTCAACTTTGAATGCCAACTTGGATCATGCATAGTGGTCATCATTATTTTTATTATTAGTTAATAAGATTCATGTTTTTACATTATTTTATAAAATAGAATAAATTCTTATAAAAAAATAATTTCAGTTTTTATTGGGTGGTGTAATGCATTTTTATTGATCATTTTAGTCGTGAGAAACAGCGTTTGGTTAAATCAGATCAGCTGAAGACGAATTCATCATCCCCAGCAAATTCTGATGTGGAAATTGATGGGATTGGCAGAATAGCAATGGTTACAAAGCAGGTTACAGACGCAGAAGCAAAACTTAAAAAACATAGGTGAGCCTCACTAACTGAGTAAATACCTAATTGTTCATGCATTAGTGGAATATAGTTTTGTAATGTATGTCATTATTAAACATGTTATAAGATTACAAATTCTTTCTTACACTTGGTAGAACTATAAAAATTGTACCTTTTTTTGCATTATCACTTATATAAAGTAATAGAATTTTTAAGTAGAATACTAAGCAAAAATTGTGCATTAAAAGGAGAGATATCCCCTTCAGATTTATTCATGGTTCATCTATCGTTAAGACATTTGTAAGACTCCTCTTTTGAAATTTTCTTTAAAATTTCTGGCATGTTTTTTAAAATACCTTCATTGGAAGCATATTTTTTATTGTTTAAAGTGGGCTTAAATGTTGGAAATAGTCATTACCTAGTCTGGTGAGTAAGATACCTGGTCATATTATGGTGTTATCATAAAGTGTGAATATCATGATCATACACTACGTATATGTTTTCTAAAACTGTGTTGTTTAAAAGGCATTTCAAAATGTTTTGAGGTGCAGCTGTATTTTGAGGATATATGTAAAGCCTCAGAATGAACATCTTGAATGATAGAATTTATTTGAAAGCATTCGTATACATTTAATAAAAATAATTACATCAGAGTATGGGTGTGTATTTTTTCTATCCCAAATATCCTGAAATCATTAGTTGATTAAGAGCGTAATGGTTTTAGCTAATATCAATAATTCTGAGCCTAAAAGCTAATCCCTTTTTAGATTGACAAGTATTAATGGGAAAGTTTTGTGCAAAGGTAGACTTTTCCTGTCCTCTTTTGGTAATTGACCAATTCTTAAACTTCAGACCTTGATAGTAAAAAATGATTAGCGTAATAAATTAACTCTTAAAGTTGAACAATCGCTAACAATAATTAGACAATTTTAATGGTTATTAAAACAAGCTTCAAAAGTTCATCCATCCATAGTGAATTATTAAGGAAAAGGGATATAAGTTTATAGCCTCATTGTTAGCATTACAGCCCCCTTGGTATTCTTCTTATTTCTATTTTGTAGATCATGAAAAGGAATGTAATTTGGAGTGGTTTTATAAGGTGACATAGACATCTCAATAAGATAGTGACTGTGAGGTTTTATATTAAATATATAAAAGTTTGTTCTGTTTTCCATTTATAAAAAGACATTAGATATTAAATGTTCTGAACAAAACAAAATGCATTTTAAAATAGTGTTTATGAATGTCTTCGGACTTAAGCGACATGTGTCTTGAGCTACCTGCTATATTTCATTACATCTAAGATGTGCCATCATTTTATGTACTCAGAAAGAAAACATGCTGTCAAACTGTGATATGCAGTTATTAAAGGCACATCCTGATTAGAGATCTGAAAAATGTACTTCATAGATGAAATATGATAGTGACTGTAAATCATCAAAATTATCAATGAGAAATAGTATTTTATATGTTCAAAAGAGATTGAAATAAATTCCTTCAGTTTTCATTTCTTTAATAACTTTCATAATGAATGAAAAGTTTAAAAAAATAATTCTTTGTGTTTGTCTTTCTACCCCCATCCTCTCTATCACATATTCTCTGCTTTATGATTCATTCTAGGTATCAGTGGTTGTGACTGTTGAAATATGGTATCTCTATGGGAAAGATGCTCATTAAAAAAAAAAAAAATTTTATTGTAGTAAAATGTATGTAAAATTTGACATTGTAACCATTTTTAAGTATACTGTTAAGTGACATTAATTATATTTACAATGTTATACAACCATCATCTCATCTATGTCCAAAATTTTTTCATTATCCCAAACAAAATCTCTGTATCCCTTAAGCAATAACTTCCCCTTCTCTCCTCCTCACAGTTCCTGGTAACCATTAATCTACTTTCTGTCTCTCTAAATTTGCCTGTTCTAAATATTTCACATAAATGGGAGCATATAATTATTTGTCTTTCTTTCTGGCTTATTTCACTTAGCATAATGGTTTCAAGGTTAATCCATGTTGTAGCATATTTTAGAATTTCATTCCTTTTTATGTCCGACTAATATTCCACTGTATGTATATACCACATTTTTTGTCAGTTCATCTGTTGATGGACACTTGGGTTGTTTCTGCCTTTTGGCTATTGTGAATAATGCTTCAGTGAACATCAGTGTACATGTATCTGTTTGAGTCTTTGTTTTCAACTTTTTTGGGTATATACCTAGGAGTGGAATTGCTGGATAATATGGTAGTTCTGTGTTTAACTTTTGAGGAAGCTTTCTTTTGTTTAATCTTAAAATTCAGTGGTTTACAAGATGAAGATCTAAGTTATATGCATGTATTTGTCTTTTTGTCCTTTTTTACTTCTTAGCTCCAAACATCTATACATCTGTATGATTGTTTAGAAATTAGTCTTCCTTCTCCCCTTACCTGCTTTGCTTTGGACAAAATGAGTTAGAGATTTATAAGTTAATTAAATGTACTTGATTATAAGGTCAGATTCAGCCAAGATTGAACTTTTTTTTTTAATTGTGGAAAGCATGTAGGTAACAAAACATTTGCCATTTCAACAATCTTCACGTGTACAATTCGGTGACATTAGAGCATTGTACATTTACTATGAGCTTTTCAACTGTAGCTCATATTCTTTAAGCTTAAATGATTTCTTTTAGAGATCAGATCCATATTTGCTTTTGTAAAATGTAAACAATGTCAATTTGAATGCATGTATGATTGATAAAACATAAAAATACCCATCTTATTAAATTCCCACCTGCATATCATAGACATGTTTTTTAAATGAGCTACTGACTACAATTTTTTCTTATTTTGATGGTGTCTGCTACTAGTTTTTCTAACAAAAAGAATTTTCTTTTTTCCCAATTAGGATTCTGTTGATGAAAGATGAATCAGTTTTAAAAAATCTAGTGCAGCAAGAAGCTAAGAAGAAAGAATCTGTTCGAAATGCTGAAACAAAGATTACAAAACTTACTGAACAGCTTCAAGCAACTGAAAAAATTCTTAGTGTCAACAGAATGTTTTTGAAGAAGCTTCAGGAACAAGTAATACTTTTTTTCTTTTTAATTAAAATATTGTAGTTTCATATTTACTATACATTTATGCATCCAATTTTATATAAAAGAAAACCATAAACTAAAGCCTTAAAAATATGTATAGTGTGTATATTGTTTTTCATTGAGATATATATTGGAATATTTTTATTTCCAGTTGAATACTATAAAACTGCTGTCTTAAGAATAAGATATTTTCTCGCCTAAGATTTTCATATACATTTTTAGAATTACCCTTATGTTTTCAGATTCACAAAGTTCAGCAACGTGTTACAATTAAGAAAGCTTTGACTCTAAAGTATGGAGAAGAGCTTGCTCGTGCCAAGGCAGTGGCTAGTAAAGAAATAGGAAAGCGTAAGCTGGAACAAGATCGCCTTGGAGTAAGTTGCTTGTACAACTATTTTATTTTTGGAAAACAAATTTTTATGATACTGCTAAGGTTGAGAGATGTATAAAAGAAGAACAAAGCTTTGTTTTTAAAAGACATCCATAGTGACTGTTTTTTAAAATTTATTTTGTCTTAACTTTCTTGTTTTTTGGGTAGATCATAGATTAACTAGAAAGACTTTTGGAGACTTATGTTAAACTGTTTTATTCTCCTTATTGATTGAGTTTTGTAATTTTGGGATTTTACTGAGATGGCACAAATGTCAGAAATTGTTTAGAAAATCACAGTGATGTAAAATACATACATTATTTTCCTCCTCCAGCCAAACAAAATGATGAGACTGGACAGTTCTCCAATTTCAAGCCCCAGAAAGCATTCAGCAGAACTAATTGCTATGGAAAAAAGACGATTACAAAAGCTAGAATATGAGTATGCCCTGAAAATTCAGAAATTAAAAGAAGCCCGTGCCCTTAAAGCAAAAGAACAACAAAATACTGCTACAGTTGTGGAAGAGGAATCAGAATTTTCTTTACCTCAACCCTCACTTCATGATCTGACTCAAGATAAATTAACCCTGGACACTGAGGAAAATGATGTTGATGATGAAATTTTGTCTGGTACAAACAGAGAACGAAGAAGATCCTTCTTAGAATCCAGTTCTTTTACTAAACCTAACCTTAAACACACTGACACACCTAACAAAGAATGCATAAACAAACCTACTAAAAATAGTTTAGAAAAACCAGAACTTTTTCTAGGGTTAAAAATTGGTGAACTGCAAAAACTATATTCGAAAGCTGACAGCTTAAAACAGTTGATTTTAAAAACTACCACAGGCATTACAGAAGACGTTTTCCATGGTCAGGTAAGCAAACATTTCATACTCTTTACAAAATCTAGAATTCACCTTAGTCTTATTTGCCCTATACAATTATTGTTTTCTTTTGCAGGAGATTGCCGTGGATGTGGATTTTGTCACAGCACAGAGTAAAACAACAGAAGTGAAGCCATGTCCATTTAGACCCTACCATAGTCCTCTTCTAGTTTTTAAATCCTACAGGTATAAAAGAAAGATTCAGTAAGCTTGAATTTCAGGATTGCTCCTTGGTTGTTAATGATATAGCCTTAAATATTTGATGAAAGTGAAAAAGTTGAATCATGGTCACTGAAAAATAGACTTTTATCTTTTTAGGGAAAATAAAAATTATATGTCTTACTGTTTGAGGAGCCCTGGTGGAACAGCTGTTAAAGTGCTCAGCTGCTAACTGAAAGGTCAGCAGTTTGAACCCACCAGCCACTCCATGGGAGAAAGATATGTCAGTCTGCTTCCATAAAGATTTACAGCCTTGGAAACCTTATAGGGCAGTTAAACTCTGTCCTTTGGGGTCAACATGAGTCAGAATCGATTCAGTGGCAACGAATTTGGGTTTTTTGGGCCGTAGTTTGACTTGAACTGTATCAGAAAGTGAGGTTTCGCTCACACTTGGGTTTATCAATTCTTACCAAATTTTCATTTCTGGCTACCAGTGGAAATATAAAGTCTGGAATGCTGTGTGTTTCCATGTGTTTAGGAAAAATAATTGGAGTCTTACGAGAATTTTTTCTTTTTTTTAATTTTACTGTTACCAGGGCTAAGGAGTGCATTAGCTGGCCTTCATAAAACCCAAACGTTCTCAGATGATTAACTTTGTGGGAGATGGTCTTTTTTTTAGAATCCTAGAAATTCTGAGGCTTTAAAGTAGATGTGATGTCATCATAAAATTGTAAAGCACTTATCAGGTAGTGTCGACTTTTTCCCTAGTTTTTTGTGTTGCTGGTAATGTGTGTTGTTGAGAGCTACAGCTGCTAATGAAAAGATCAGCAGTTCGAATCCTCCAGGCTCTCCTTGGAAACCCTATAGAGCAGTTCTACTCTGTCCTATAGGGTTGCTGTGACTCGGAATTAACTCGACGGCAATGGTTTTTTTTAAATATATATACAACAGAACGAAACATTGTCTGGTCCTGTGCAATCCTCATAGTCGTTGTTACGTTTGAACCTGTTGTTGCAGCCACTGTGTCAGTACATCTCGTTGAGGGTCTTCCCCTTTTTCGCTGACCCTCTACTTTATCAAGTATGATGTCCTCCTCCAGGGACTGGTCCCTCCTGATAACATGACCAAAGTATGTGAGCCGAAGTTTCACCATCCTTACTTCTAAGGAAGCATTCTATCTATACTTCTTCTAAGACAGATTTGTTCGTTCTTCTGGCAGTCCATAGCATATTCAGTATTCTTCACCAACACTATAATTCAGAGGCGTCAGTTCTTCTTCAGTTCCTTGTGGACTTGTTTTAATTTTCTTCAACTTCAACTTGGATATGAGCAGTTGATGGTCTGTTCCGTAGTCAACACCTGGCCTTGTTCTGACTGGTGGTACTGAGCTTTTTCATCATGTCTTTCCACAGATGTAGTCAGTTTGATTCCTATGTATTCCATCTTGCAAATTGGCATTTATGTTGTTGAAAAAAAGATATTCCCATAAATAGATGGCTGGTCTTCCAGAATTCTATCATGTGATCTCCGGTGTCATTTCTATCACCAAGGCCATATTTTCCAACTACTTATCCTTCTTCTTTGTTTCCAGCTTTTACATTCCAATCACCAGTAATTACCAATGCATCTTTATTTCGTATTTGATCCATTTCAGACTGTAGAAGTTGGTAAAAATCTTCAGTTTCTTCATCTTTGGCATTAGTGGTTGGCACGTAAATTTGAAGAATGGTACTATTAATTGGTCTTCCTTATAGGCGTATGGATATTATCCTATCACCCACAGTGTTGTACTTCAGGATAGATCTTGAAATGTTCTTTTTGGCAATGAATGTGACGGCTATTCCTCTTCCATTTGTCATTCCCAGCATAATCGACCATATGATTGTCCGATCGATTCAAAGTGGCCAATACCAGTCCATTTCAGCCCACTAATGCCTGGGTCATCTCTCTTCAAGCCTTCCATTTCGTTTTTGGCAGCTTCCAATTTTCCTAGATTCGTGCTTCGTACATTCCACATTCTGATTATTAATGGATGTTTGCAGCTATTTCTTCTCATTTTGAGTTGTGCCACATCAGCAAATGAAGGTCCTGAAAGCTTTACTCCATCCACGTCATTAAGGTTGACACTACTTTCAGAAGGCAGTTCTTCCCCATTTGTGTTTTGAGAGTGACTTCCAACCTGAGGGGGCTCATCTTCCAGCACTGTATCAGGCAGTGTTCCACTGCTATTCATAAGGTTTTCACTGGCCAGTTGTTTTAGAAGTAGATTCCCGGGTCCTTCTTCCTAGTTTGTCTTAGTCTGGAAGCCCCACTGAACCCTGTCCACCATTTGTGATCCTGCTAATATTTGAAATACTGGTGGCATAGCTTCCAGCATCACAGCAACGCATAAGCCACCACAGTTTGTCAAGCTGACAGATGAGTGGTGGGGTAAGGTGTACAAGAATTAAAAAAGAAAAAGAAAAAGCCACTCTGTGTTTTAAAAAGTAGTGTTTTTCCACCACATGACAACATTGTATGTAATTCTTGGTAATGTGTACAATAATTATGTAGTATTTTGTTATGTGGTAGAAAAACACTACTTTTGAAATACAGAGTTTTTTATTGTTTGTTTGCTTTCTGTTTCAAATGTTTTGTGAGCTGAGATTTAAGTATCTTGTCCCTACCATTGGAAACCCTAGTGGCGTAGTGGTTAAGAGTTCGGCTGCTAACCAAAAGGTCAGCAGTTCAAATTCGCCAAGTGCTCCTTGGAAACCCTGTGGGACAATTCTTCTCTGTCCCGTAGGGTCACTCTGAGTCGGAACTGACTTGATGGCAACAGGTTTGGTTTTTTTTTTTTAATCCCTTCCATTTGGTATTCTGGCAGTTTTCTAGAGTTACTTTTGGTATTAAGTGTAGAAATTTTAACTGAGAATGAATAATTAAAATGTTCTTAGTTTTCTGAGGTGTGTTTATGGAATGTAATGTGCCTGTCCATGTCTGTTTTCTGTAGATTTAGTCCTTATTACCGAACCAAGGAAAAACTTCCCCTGAGCTCAGTATCGTACAGTAATATGATTGAACCAGATCAGTGTTTCTGTCGCTTTGATTTAACAGGAACATGTAATGATGATGATTGTCAGTGGTGAGTAGTTTTTGTGAACATTTTATAATTTAAAAGGCAGTCTTGATTGGTTACCTTTGACATGTAAATGATTATCTTTTCTGCGTTGTTATTTTATTTTAGGCAGCATACAAAAGACTATACGCTTAGCCGAAAGCAGCTATTCCAGGACGTTCTGTCATATAATTTGTCTTTGATTGGTTGTTCAGAATCAAGCACTGATGAAGAAATTGCTGCTGCAGCAGGTTTTTAAATACCTCTTATTCTTTCCCATATGAAAATTTGAATTTAGGCAATTTAAGAATTTTATATTCAGTTTTGTGTATCTTTAAATACCCATAATAATCCCACACATTCACCCACAGCACTTTATCTAGAGCAGTTCTGTTCAGTGCAGTAACCACTAGCCGTATGGTGCTATTTTAATCGAAATTAAATAAAATTTAAAGTTTACTTCCTCAGTCACGCTAGCCATATTTCAAGTGCTGAGTAGCCACGTGTGGCTAGTGCTTACCAATAGGACAGCACAGATACAAGATGTTTCCATCTTTGTAGAAACTTCTTTGGACAGAGCTCATTTAGATAGTTCAGTTTATTTAGAAGAAAATATTCACTTATTTCTGTAGAAATTTTACTGATGATTTTAACACCCTTGAAAGCATAGTATTTGCTACCAAATACTAAACCTTAAACTACAAATCTTTGGAAGTATGGGAATTGGCATTTACTAAATTTAGTGTTAGCACACCCCAGAATGATTGAATGTGAAATCACTGAATTTACTTACTCATTCCTAATTTGGGACTATAACTTGTTGAGTTTATTTCAGAAGATGCTTTTCGTCGGCTCAAATTGGGTACATAATGTGGTAGAATTTCTGATAGTAGTTAAGGTAGGGTAGTCCTTGCCCTCTAGAAGGCCATGAGTGTTTGTGACTAATATCATATACTTTTCTTTAATTCTTAAACTATTCTTCACTTCATACTCTTTAATTAGCCTAGTCTCTATAATCTATGTCTTTTATACTCTTTATAAAGATGGTATTGCTCCTATTTCAGAAAAATACGTTGAGAAACTTTTTGGAGTAAACAAAGATCGAATGTCAATGGACCAGATGGCTGTCCTTCTTGTTAGCAATGTCAATGAAAGTAAAGGTCATAGTAAGTATATATGTATCTATGTCTCTAAAAAGAAACTTCTAGTTTCTTTATGACAGCCAACTTTTTGGCACTAAATTCTCAATATAACCTATATTACTTCTAACAGAGTAATTGTAGCTGTTTTTAAGTAGTGTTTGGTAGCCTTCAAAACTGTCAAATGCCACTTTTATCAACTGACTTAATTTTGTTTACTTTAGCACCTCCACATACAACCTACAAAGATAAAAGAAAGTGGAAGCCAAAGTTTTGGAGAAAGCCTATTTCAGAGAATAACTTCAGTAGTGATGAGGAACAGTCTACTGGACCAATTAAGTACGGTAAGGAGTTTTGTAATTTAAGATGCAGAATTTTATTTAATTTTTTCACATACAAAAATTTATACATACATTGTTATGTGACTAATTGCTCTCCCCATACTGTGACAGCACACTCTTCCTTTCCATCCCTGATTCCCCATGTCCATTCAGCTAGCTCCTAACCCTCTCTGCCTTCCTGTCTCACTTCTGGACAGAAGCTGCCCGCTTAGTCTCTTGTATCTACTTGACTAAGAGGCACACTCCTCACGAGTATCATTTTATGTCCCACAGTCGAGTCCAATCTCTGTCTGAAGAATTGGCCTTGGAAATTGTTTTAGTTCTGGGCTGATAGAGAATCCAGGGGCCATGCTCTCCAGGGTGCCTCCAGTCTCAGACCATTAAGTCTGGTCTTATTATTAGAATTTGAGTTCTGCACCCCACCTTTCTCCTGCCCTATCCGGGACTCTCTGGTGTGTTCCCTGTCAGGGCGGTCATTGGTGGTAGCCACACACCATCTAGTTCTTCTGGTCTCAGGCTGATGAAGTCTCTGGTTTATGCGGCCCTTTCTGTCTCTTGGGCTACTACTTTCCTTGTGTCTTTGGTGTTCTTCATTCTTTATTCCGGGTGGGTTGGGACCAATTGATGCATCTTAGATGGCTGCTTCCAAGCTTTTAAGACTCCAGATGCCAAGGATGCAGAATTTTTAAATTGTGGAGTTCATCTTTGTCTAACACTTTGCTAATCTTTTGGTATATTTTCTAGCCTAGTTTTCATATTGGTGCCATTGGCATTTTAGGCAATGTACTCTTCATTGTGTAGTACTGCCCCATTGCAGGGTGTTTTATATACATGGCCCCTGCCCAGTAAATGCAAGACCCACTCCTTAGTAAATGTGATTGCCCCAAGTTTTGTCAGACATTCCTGCGCGGGGAGAGGGAAGCAGTGCTGCTTGCATTTGAGAACCACTGCCTGGCCTATGTGTTTCTTGAAGGCAGGTGTTCTATTTCATTAATGAGTCTGTGTTTCCTGGCATGTAGTAGGATCACAGAATGAATGAATGAATAAATGAATGACAAGGTAACATATGTATGAATACTTTATTGTCGAGCACATCTTACATTCTGATCTCAAGTTTACATAATTTAATTATTTACTATTTGTGGATTAGCAGGTACCCAAGAGATGAATACTCTCTTGTGCTTGTTTACAGTAATGTAATGCTTTTTTTCTAGTTTAAATTTAGTGAATAAATCAGTAAAACTTGAGTCTTTAAAAATTGTAACTTGCTCTGACAGTATAATGAATGTGGATTATCAGATTTTGTTAGTTACCCTTAAAGTAGAGACATACTTCCTGGTTGCCCAGGAGAGCCCTAGTTTAAAACTGTTGCCCTGGTGTAATTTTTAATAGCACCCTTTTTACTCTCAGACTATTTTGGTTTGGACAATAAATTACATGGCTGCTTAAAGTTATGAGCTATATTACACATTAACAGAACCTTTAGGTTTTGAGGTCATTTTAAAGATGAGGCTATTTATTATTTCCTGGGTCTGTGGATTAGAGAAAGTGTGATGCCAATGATATTTTACCTTATAGCCTTCCAGCCAGAGAGCCGAATAAATGTTCCAGCTTTGGATACAGTTGTCACTCCAGATGATGTCAGATACTTTACAAATGAGACTGATGACATTGCTAATTTAGAAGCAAGTGTGCTTGAAAATCCTTCTCATGTACAACTTTGGCTCAAGCTTGCGTACAAGTACTTGAATCAAAATGAGGGGTAGGTCAGCTTCTAATCTTTGTGTGAACTGTTGCACGGTTATGTTTTTATGTTTGAGGTTTATTTCACCTATGGTAGTCAGGTTTCCTTCCTAGTAACAAAGGAGGCTTTGTTTTTTGTTTTTTTTTTGACAGGGTTAAAAGCTGTTAGAAAAACTTTTAAGATTAGATCTTGAGTTGTGTGTGTGGTGCAGTGTATGAGTAATATACTAAAGTTATTAACTCCAGTAGGCTTTATTTCAAAGTAGAGGTAGTTAAAACAGTAAACTCTGGATGATGTAAGAATTACTTTTTTTTTAAGTCAAGTAGTTATAGTCTTTTTATATAATTATGATAAAATAACAGCAGAACAGGTTAAATTTCATGTTAATTTTCAATTGGAAATGTAAAGCTTGTGTAAGTACCTTGAAATTCTAGTGAATTGATTTTTTTGTGTGTTATAGTGTATGTATTCAAATTAGGTAAATACTAATTTATTTCACAGCCTATAGCTCCTGTTATACAGTCGTAATTTCTAACTTTTAAGTCAGTGATCCTACTTTTTGATAGTAGAGATAAGCCAGGAATAATCATTTTATTATCATAATTTTAACGTTATCATTATTAAGTGGTTTGTTTTTTTACAGGCTACTCTGTTACATCTGACTATCTTAAAATTTAGTATAAAAGCTTATTTAATAAGGCAGCACTGCGGATTGCAATATATCACACATGCCTGAATATAGTGCTTATTTAATTTTCCATGTATGTCATTTCCATGTTAATGGGATAAGTTACAGTGTTTTCTTTTCTGACTCATTTACTGAGTGAAGGCCAAAAGAACTGTACCTTATTTTATGAATAGGATCATGAGAGAGAATTATCTTCTCCAAGAGATAGCAAGTCCTGACTTGAAAAGAACTATTATATTGAAAGCTTTTGAAATTTTGTGCTGGCAGTAGCTGGCCTTGAGAAAGAGTTGTTTAACTTTTCCAGGACCAGAGTAAATCATAAAAAGTATTGCTGAATATGGACATAAAGCATATTTGAAGTTGATAATCTAGTGTGTTTTATAGCACTGTGTTTTTATCTGAGGTAAATGGTCACTGAACATTCACTTAAAAAAAATTGTTGGGTCTATGGGAAATCGGGACCTTTTTTGGACAGATACAATTAAAAATTCTAATTTGTTACCCTTTGTCATAGGAGATCCTAGCTTCTTGAGAAACTCTAATGGAAATGAAGTAAATAAAATTGACTCAGTATATTAACCCTATTTAAAAGTATTTGTAAAAAAATGTTCCTGCCTTTTCTTTAAACATGTAGGCTATGTTCAGAATCCTTGGATTCTGCTTTAAATGTTCTGGCCCGAGCATTGGAAAACAACAAAGACAATCCAGAAATTTGGTGCCATTACCTCAGATTGTTCTCAAAAAGAGGAACCAAGGAGGAAGTCCAAGAAATGTGTGAAACAGCTGTTGAATATGCTCCCGATTATCGAAGTTTTTGGACTGTGAGTAGAAAAGATAATATAGTTCTGTGTGTGTGTGTTCATAATTCTTTGGGTCATCTTAAATATAGAAATGTAGCTTCATAGATCGTCTCTTTTATCTCTGGCTACCTACCGACCTATCTCCTACTTTCAATTTCCAGTAACCTTAAAGCCACTTTTTCTGTGTCAGGTTTAATTTAATTAAGCAAGAAAAAAATATTTCATAAAGAGGCTTTTTTTTTGTTAACTTTGTTGGTAAAGAAAAAATAGAAAATTATTAAACATTTTGCACCTACCTAAAGCAGTTTTAGTCTGGGCAAAATTAAGTGTATTTTTTTGCAACCAAAACCATTGCTGTCAAGTCAATTCTGACTCATAGCAACCCTATAGGACAGAGTAAAACTGCCCCATAGGGTTTCCCAGGATGGCCTGGTGGATTCAAACTGCTGACCTTTTGGTTAGCAGCTGTAGCTCTTAACCACTATACCACTAGGGTTAGGGCAAAGCACCTAAAAAAATATTTTTCTAGATTTCTTATGCTTGGGTAAAATTTTTATGAATGCCAGGAAATATTCTGGCCTTTTTATTGTCTGTCCTCACTGCTTATGGAAAGGATCCTAATCTGTAACTCATACTAACACCAAACTTTGCTAAGATACAAAGATTTGGTGAGAAGATAAGTTTTTCCTCTTTCTCCAAGAGAACGAAATGTTTCCTACTGAGACTTAAAATTATAATTGATTCACCTATAAAACAAGTATTCATTAATATCTGAATCTTTACTACCTGAACACAGAAACCATTAGATTCAGATAAATTTTTAGAGAAATCTACTGCTATCAGCTTTATCATTTACTTGCTAACTGAAACTCAGAACTAAATAGATTTGGATAAATGAATGAACTTGCCACTCTCTCCTTCTCTGAACTCAGTACTGATTAGATTTGGACAGTGAACAATGTTTGTTTTTTAGCCTGGAGCCTTGTGTACAGCAGGTCTGTTTACTAAAGTTAATGCTGTTGATGGCAATGAGATTTTATAGGGCATGGATATTCAGAAGATCTGTTTCTCCTTAAAATTATTAGGTCTTTAAGGGAACTCAATTTCTTGATTAATCCTTTTTTAATTATCTATTTTACCATACTTTCTAATATAAATGCTATTCTCATACTTGTTATACAGTCAAGTCACACACCTAAGCAGTGCAAATTGTATGTAATGGTAAAGACGGACTTTCGGTGATCCATTGTGGTCTTGCTGCCACTTACATATTTATTCAGGGAGAGAAGATACAGGTACACTTGTATTTTTTAGTTTTCATCGGATTCTACTCTCCAACACGTGTTAGAGGGAGAAATCTAGATGGTGGTGCTAGAAGATGGGATCATATCTTTTTTTTCAATTATCCTTTTTGTAGAAATTGAAAATTAAATACGAGACAGTTTCTTAAGGAAATGTGAAAAATCTGTAGTTTTATGATTTATTCTTATAAAGCAGGACTAATGCTATGAAACCTCTTTGGACAGTTTCTGCATCTAGAAAGCACTTTTGAAGAAAAGGATTACGTATGTGAGAGGATGATGGAGTTTCTGATGGGAGCAACCAAACAGGAAACATCAGATACTCTGTCCTTTCAGCTCTTAGAGGCTCTTTTGTTCAGAGTTCAGCTGAACATATTTACTGGAAGATGCCAAAATGCACTTGCAATTTTACAGGTAAACATTTATTATATCATTTATGTGCATCTTGTGAAGAATTTTAAATCATAGGTAGAACTATTTAATGGTAAGGACACAGGCTGTGGATTTGAATCCTTACCTTGCCACTTACTAGTAAGCTGTGTTGCTGGGCAAGTTCGTGACTTTCTTCATCTGCTTAGTGAAGATGATATTTTTAGAGTCTTTATGAGGCTTAAATGAAAATAATGTTTGTCACATACTCACTACATGAACTTCAAGATCCAAACCATCAGGAAAAACATCAGTACATAGTAAAAATCTTCTGTATGTATTTTGTTTGTTTGTTTTTTTACTGTTCTGTCTTATCTCATTAGATTTGGAGTATTGGGTTACTTAAAATGTACAAATAAATTAATCTTTTTTCATTAATTATGTTACAAAACTTCAGTATAGTAAAAAATTGTTTTTTCACTTAAAAAAAAAAGGCTACCAACTAGTATTTAAGAACCACTCCAAAGAAATATAACACTTTTATTCTTCCTTGCCTTTATAGTTGAATCTTATTTTGAATAGGAGTCCATATTTTTAAAAACACTTTCAGATTATTTTTTCATTTTACCTAGAATGCTTTGAAATCTGCTAATGATAGAATAGTAGCTGAATACCTTAAAACAAGTGATCGATGTTTGGCATGGCTAGCCTACATACATCTTATCGAATTCAACATTCTTCCTCCAAAATTGTATGATCCATCTAATGCCAATCCTTCAAGAATTGTTAACACAGAACCATTTGTAATGCCGTGGCATGCAGTTCAAGATGTAAAGACTAATCCTGACATGTTGTTAGCAGTTTTTGAAGGTATGTATAAATGATTATAAATTATTTAGAACATCAACTTACCCATTATTATACTCTTCATAATTAAGTGGAATAAATTTCTATCTATATATTACAGTTTGTAGTTTCATAATTTGTTATGTAGATGCTTAAAAGATTAAGGATTGAATTATCTAAGATGGGCATTGACTGAAAACGAGGCACTGTAGTGCATTGTGTAATTTAAAGAGTTATATAGCCTAGTAAGAAGATAAAATCTATACATTTAACATAATTATTAAATATGCAAGGCCATATAATTGTGTATTAGTAGTCTAAATTATATGCTGTAAGTGAGAGAAGGATCTGTGATTTATAGAATTATATTATATAGGCCATAAACTCAAAGGGAAGAGATTGTTGTAGATTGACATTATCAAGGAAGTCTTCACAGAACAATTGAGAATTAGAACTGGACTTTGAAGCATGGCTGTGATATAACATGGCTGTTGTTGTTGTGTGCCGTAGAGTCGATTCCAACTCATAGTGACCCTATAGGACAGAGTAGAACTGCCCCGTAGGGTTTCCTAGGCTGAAATCTTTAGAGGAGCAGATCACCAGATCTTTTCTCCTGAGGAATGGCTAGTGAGTTTGAACCACCGACCTTTTGGTTAGCAGTAACTTGCTTAACCATTGTGCCATCAGGGCTCCTTTATGGCATAGTGAGCCTCCTCAAATGGCATGGGAACCCTTGTCTTCTTTATCTCTGTTTTTCTCAAGGGTCTATCATGATGTCTGACAACGTACATACTAAGTGCTTAGTAAATGCTTGTTGAATAAACTGTAAAGGAAGGAAAAGAAAGGCATTGCTGTTAGCGGAGCTAAGTAAACAAAAAGCAACAAGTAGATAGGAATTTGTGGGATGGGTTTAAAAAGGGATTGGGAAAAGGGGGAGTCCTTATCAAAGTGAAAATTCTGTGCTGGAGAATTGTAGGAATTAAGCTTGGTAAGTGGAATGATACTAGATTTTCAAGAACTTTGGAAGTATGGTAGACTTGATGGCAGTAGTTCTTCAGGAAAGAAAGAATGTGCTGAAGAGAAACGATACTAGAGGTAGGAAAACCAACCAGGAGCTAATGGCCATAACTGAAACACAAGGAAATTAATCTGGGGAAGGAGAGTATTTGTTAGAGACATCTGAAGTTTTCACATAGAGGTGTGAAGACAGATTAAATGTCAGGGAAGAGGAGAAGGAATAGTCAAAGACGATTTCAGAGTTTTGAGTCTGGGAAAAAGTGTCATTAATAGAAAACTGGCAAGTTGGGAAGGAGACTGGTTTTCGTAGTTGTTGTGTGCCATTGAGTCTATTCTGATTCAGAGTGACCCTACAGGACAAACGTAGAACTGCCCCATAGGGTTTCCTAGGCTGAAATCTTTATAGGAGCAGATTGCCAGGTCTTTTCGTCTGAGGAGCGGCTGGTGGGTTCAAAGCACCGACCTCTTGGTTAGTAACCAAGTGCTTAAGCATTGCACCACCATGCTTCTTTTGATTTTCATAGTAGGACTAGTATTTTTGAATGGTAATTGGTCATCCAAGTGGAAATGCATGTTGGCAGGAGGAAGCAAGAAAGTGGACCTTAAGTGGAAGATTAAGGATAGAGGAATGAATTTGAGAGTTATTTAACATAGAAGTTGTTGTGTTACAAAGTGCTTTACAGTTTTTAATGTGCTCTCACAGTAAATTATTCAGTAGTTGAAGCCATGAGATAATATTTTCTCTTAAGAAATGAAGTTTTAAGAGATTAGCAATAAGGGGCAAAAGGGAGAAAAGAATCAGTGAATGATAAGAAGAGGAAATATAAACAATCTCTTAGAAGCAGAGGCAAGAAGAAATTTAAAAAAGGGGGAAGGAGGAACATTGTCAAATTCTAGGAAGGACATTGTCAAATACTAACTAAATAAAATGAGGATAAAGATAGACTTTTTGGTTTGTTTAGATATAAATCCTTAGTGAACTCCAAGAGTGCAGTTTCAGAATGATGACATTCACTTAAACAGACTCCACAAGTCTGGAAAGTTATTCTTCAGTTGGGCAAGGAAGAAATGATGATAGTCATGCAAAATGAAACAGTGTACTGTTCCACAAAAAGCAGCAGATCAAGTAAATGACTCTTTACAAGGAGAAAAAGGTGTTTTGAAGGAGGACGTAAAGGATCTATTTTAAGGGGAGATATTTAAATGGTTATAAAGCAGGAGAGCAAGGTCTCATTTGAAAGTGTCAAGGAAAGATGAAAAGATACAGTCGATTCCTTCTTATTTGTGGTGGTGGTGGTGGTAGTGTGTGCCGTCAAGTCGGTTCTGACTCATAGCAACCCTGTGAGACAGGTTAGAACTGTCCCATAGTGCTTCTGAGGAGCAAATGGTGGATTTGGACTGCCGACCTTTTGGTTAGCATCGTGAGCTCTTAACCACTTCACCACCAGGTAGTTATGTTATGTAAAGTCACCAGGAGTACTGAATTAGCGAATACTGAACCATTGTTCCTAGGAAAAATACAGGGTTATGTTCCTGCTAGCCTCTGATCACAACCTTTTTGTTGACGGATCAGTACATAACTTCATTTTAGGTGTGTTTCTGTTTAAAGACATTATTTAATGTAGTTGTTTCATAAACATTGAACTCAACGACCAATAGCACTGTATCTCATGCCTGAATGAAGTTTACCTAACACATGTATTTTTTCTGTAAAGCACATTACAGCATTCTTGCACTTAGGAACACTAGACAGCCCTTCGCCACTACACTTGGGGACCACTTTAAACAGCAAAATCACCAGCATAAAACACAAACATAGGAGCTGAAACAAGAAGGCAGAGATTTGCGTTGTTTGACCATATCTGGGAACACGCTTGTCACAAGTATGGTACCTGCAAATAATGAGGATTGATTATATTCATTCTTTTAATTTTTTGAGATGCACTTTAAGGAATTTAGGATAAATGCAGAGACATTTGTTTAAGTGAAAACATTGTTAGATGCAAGAGCTCGTATTGGATGATTTTATTCTTACTAGGAAAGTGAGGGTAAGTGATTTAATTTTAGGATTGGAGATACCTGTAATACCTCCTTTGGGTTCAAACAGTTGCCATCAAGTTGATTCCAACTCGTGGTGACCCTATGTGGAGAGTAGAACTGCTCCATAGAGTTTTAAAGGCTGTGACCCTTAGGAAGCAGATCACCAGGACTTTCTTCCAGGTTCCTCTGGGTAGGTTCAAACTGGCAAACTTTCAGCTAGTAGTTGAGTGCTTAATTGATTGTGCCACCCAGAGATTTCTTCCTTTGGGTATAATGGAGGTATTTTGGGAGTTCAGTAAAGATGAGTAAGGTGATGGTCAAGCAAAGGAATTGCCCATTTTTTCCCACTGTTCTCTTAGAATTAAATAACACAGTAAAGTATTCATGTTATGTTTGATTCATGTTGTTGTAATGTTTTTGGATAGATGGGGTGAAAGCTTGTACAGATGAGAGCCTTACTGTTGAGGAAAGAACAGAGGTCTGTCTTCCACTTTATACAAACATGATTGCTCTGCACCAGCTTCTAGAGAGGTAAAACTTAAATGACCAGCAATTAACCCTGTATTTAAAACTGATCGTTTTATGTGATGAGACATTTTCTTTTTCTTGTTAAGGTATGAAGATGCAATAAAACTTTGTAAATGTTTATTGGAATCTTGTCCCGTGAACTGTCAGTTGTTGGAAACCCTTGTTGCTTTATACTTGCAAACAAATCAGCAGGACAAAGCCAGGGCAGTGTGGCTTACTGCATTTGAAAAAAATCCTCAGAATGCAGAAGTTTTTTATCATATGTGCAAATTGTTCATCTTGCAGGTAAAAAATGACTCATAATTCTTAAATATGATGTTATTATGTTTTATATTTTCTTATTCATCCTTGAAGACATTTCAGACATCAGCCTCTTCTGGAAACTCTTCCTGATACTTTTACCCTTTGTATAATGTATTAGGTATTCCTTCTGTCTCTGCCACAATACCTTGTGCATAGTTCTACCATTGCGCTTATTATGTTACTCTGCAATTTTGTTTGTAGCTGCTTTATATGCTAGACTAAGAACTCCTTGAAGGCAGGGACTGTGCCTTACTCATATTTTGAGCGCCTACACCTACCACAGTGCAAAACATGTAATAGAAGCTTAATAGATATAATTGTTGGATGAAATTGAGCCTGTGGTGGTATTGTTAAACTATTCAGTGGTTAATCAAACTTAACCTAGTGATGTAGGATATGAAAGTTAACTGAATGTGTCCCAAACTCTTCCACCCTACCCTCCAAGAAGACTTAATCTAATCAGTAATTTTGGGGGGCTTTTCCTTCCTTGAAGTATTTTAATTAAACATTGTAAGCCTGATGTATATCCCCCCTCCCTTTTTATAAACAGAATCGAGGCGATAATCTTCTTCCATTTTTACGGAAATTTATTGCATCCTTCTTTAAACCTGAGTTTGAGAACTATAGTAACTTGGATCTGTTTCGGTAAGTTGGTAGAACTCTTAATTTGTAGAGGATGGAGAATAATATAGTTCATTGGAAAGATTACAATTATTTTGTGGATTGATTCATTTTAGACTGATTTTATACTTGAAACACTCCTTTACACAACCATTATGAGGGCAATAGAATTTAAAGAAATGAAGGCAAAATGTAAGATGCTTTGCATTCTTAGGATTAAAGACACTATACGTATAAGAAGGGTTATACTAACAATGTGATAACTCATTTTCCTTTTACTTTATTGTTAATGTTGTTGATTCCAGCACTTAGTACTGTATCAACTAATTATTGTAAGATGATCTCAGTGATTTTTAAAAAAATGATTTACTTCTTTGGTGATCTAAAGTGAATGTAAATAGGATGCTTTTTTCCTTTTTTCATTCTAAAGGGAACGGCTCTAGCCTCTGAAATGTTGTTGAGTGAGAAGTTTGAAGAATTTTTTCTCAACTATCAGTTTCTCGGTAGCTTATGTAGAACTCTGTATTTACTGCCTTCATTTGCTTTGGTGAGAGTTCTTGTTCCAGTAAGAGGCCACAGCAGATTGTGAAGCGTGATTGGGGGGCATAGAGCTTTAAAATTCTCTTCCCTTTCTCCTTATCTCTCTGCAGGGGCTAGCAAACTATTTTTCTTAAGGGTGAGATAGTAAATGTTTTAATCTTGCAGGCTATGTGGTGCTTGTCACTAGTACCCAACTATGCTGTTGTAGAGAGAAAGCAGTTACAGTCAGTATGTAAATGAATAGGTGTGGCTGTGTTCCCAGTAAAACTTCATTTATAAAAATAGGCAGAGTTTGGTGACCTGAAGTAAAACAGCATCAAAAGGAAAATGTTTTCTCATGACATACTCTTATTTTATGTTAGGAAGAACTGAGAGAAGGAAGACCTAAGCTGAGTATCTCCTAAAAAAATTTCTTGCGTAAAATACTGATCATAAACCAAGATAAAATCTTGGTTTACTGTTTGCAGATTTGTTGCTGGCAAAATATTTTCCTAAGATCCCCTCCCCCACCCCGTATTAGCAATGTTATAGAAAAACAGATTTTTTAGATTAACCCACTTTCTGTTAAGTCAGTGGTCTACCCACTCCAAAATTTTCTCTGAACATGACGGTTTTGAGATTTAGCAAAAAAGTTTGGGGTCACTATTCCTTCCCAGACGTGAATCTTTTCATCTGTCCTCTTATGGTAGCCAGTTTATTGACATAATAATTTTAGTACCTTTCCTGCTTCATTCATCTAGATTAATATCTCAAGATTAATTAGAAAATAATAATTTTAAATGCCAATAAAGAATTTAACTATCCTATGAGGATTTAGAGATTGTTCAGCTTCCTCATGCTCACCTCCCTTGCTTAAATTTTATTGCTTTACTTCTCAAACTCAGGCGGAAGGACCAATCTAAGGCTGAACCAAACTCATTACATACTTGTTGGTTCTGGTCTTCCCTTGGGCATGGAGGTAATTAGTTTAGTTTAAAAGAAGATGTTGCCAGTTTCTGCCTTGATAACTAATCAGAGATCTTCTTGATGCCAGGTTAATTACGCAGAATAAACAGTGTCAATAAAAATTTGAAAATGGGCTGCCTCTAGTTAATCTGTTCATTGTTCACTAAATCATCCTGCCTTATTAAATTCTTTTGTGAGAATAGTCATAATTCACTAAGAGTTAGGAGAAAAAGTACCCTGTGCTTATTTTATTTGGACAGTGCTGAAGATCTTGTTTACACAAAGAGTGTGAATATCTGTTAATTTAGGAAGTCTTTTTTGAGTCAAATGTTAGGAGAAAGGCAATAAGTGAGATAATTTTTGGCATTGTCATACTTACTGTATATTGATAAAATTTTTTAAATTTATAAATTTAGCTGAAGTTTATTAATAGGGGAAACCAGAGTGTTCTTAATAGATTCAAATTATTATTTTTTTGTTTCATGAATAGAAATTATACAGCAAGTATACTTACAACTGTGACATTTACCTAAAGTTGAATTCAGTCGGCTCCTTTTCTATGTGATGTTTAATATAAAGACAACAAACAGAAAGAGCTAGATTAGATAATTTTCATATGTTTCAAATCAATTGGAAATTAAATGAGTAACCAGAAAAGTTTCCTTGGTGATTTCATTCACTTTACTGAAGTTAGCCTAGGGATTATAGAATTTTACATAGATTAGAAGTCATCTCTTCTGAGCCACCTCAGTTTTCAGTTGAGGAAACTAAAATCCTTAGAAGTTAAGTAATTAACTCATGGTTATATAGCTAGTTACAGCAAAGTCAGGATTACCATCTGACTTCTAGATGTCCCATCTTCTTCCCTTTCTTGTGTTTTTCCTCCATACAGCCTCTCTAATCCATTAAAACTTATTCTCTTGAAATCATTTTTAAATCCAAGGTAAGCAGTTATACTAGATTGTCATTTTAGAGATCAATGTCTTTCCTTTAAAAACATCGTTCCTCAAGATGTTGGTAAGTATTACACACACACTCACATACAGATTCAAATACATTGGGGGGAAACTGAATTAGTCAAAGTCAAATAGATATCTTTATTGATTGACTTCTTATAGCCTTTATTTAACAAGTGCTTATGGACAAATATGCCATAGGATACATTCTGATATCATGTCTAAAATTAAACCTGTAGTGGTATGTATGTATGTATGCATGTATGCATATGAGATTGTTTCCAGATAACAGGTTTTGTAAATCTTTATTTTATAGGAAAGTACAGATATATGGGAAGGTTTTAGATACTTTGGTATTCTCATATATTGTTTTCGATTTTAATTAGGTTTAATTAGATGATTATGGAGGTTTATTTAATTTGGGGGATATGATAAAAAATTCATTTTAGGAAAGGAGTCATGTAGGTATAAAATAATAGAATTCTGAGTAAATATATGATCCTAGAGATGTGACCGTAGAAGTATGGTATACAGATGAACATAAAGTTTCATTACTTTTTAAAATATTTCAAGGAAATTTGAATTGGAACTGAGATTCTTTTTTTTAACCATTATTAATCCACGTGTGCATAGGCATAATTTCAAACAATATTTGCTTTTTTTTCAGGTATCTCTTAAATATCCCAGGACCACTTGACATTCCAGCCCATTTATGTAAAGAGAATTTTAATGATGAAATGTTTAACCACCAAATCCCTTACTTGTGGCTGATTTACTGGTGAGACATTATCTTCTGTGGAAAGATGTTGCATACTCGGCTTACATTTTTTATTACTGATTTACACTGTGTTCAAGTTAACATCATGTTAAAGTCTGTGAAGCAAAATCGAAAGGATGTTCAAGTTTAGTACATATTGAAGAAAGATAAAAGGGAAGATTTAATTGCGCTAATATCTATAATGTTTAAAATACACTTCGTGATTCCTTTACCTAATAGAATTGAACTGTTGACGGCTAACATTTTCCTTCATTTTTTAAACAGCCTTTGTCATCCTCTTCAATCAAGTATTAAAGAGACAGGGGAGGCTTATGAGGCAGCATTAGGGGTGGCCATGAGATCTGATATAGTACAGAAGATTTGGATGGAGTAAGTTTAGTTCTTCCTAATAAGAATGGGATTTTGAAAAAAGGGGATATAGTGGAAAAAGGGGGTGATCAACTCTCTTGGTGAGAGATACTGGCTTGCTTATTCTAAATTATCACAATATTTTTCTTTTGGCAGTTATCTTACCTTTGCCAATAATAGAGCTGCTGGATCCAGAAACAAAGTCCAAGAATTCAAAATTTTTACTGATTTAGTGAATAGATGTTTGATTACAGTCCCTGCCCGATATCCCATTCCTTTTAGCAGTGCTGATTATTGGTCCAACTATGAATTTCATAATAGGGTAAGAACTTAAAACTTCATTTATGTATTTTTTTAGATGTTTGTACAAAGCTAGGGCCTTAAATGACAGTAAAACTCCTATTTTATAGATCAAGAGAGCTTATCCTAGAACCACTTTCCTAGCGTTTTTTATTCTTGACCATGTTTCTTATTTAGCTCTTGAAAGTCTAGGAACAGAGCTGTAATTTGTGGCAAACATTTGTTCTTTAAGGCTCTATTAGGATGAAGTATGCATAGGATTGTGTTTTATTTAAGAAAATATTCTTCGTCCTCTGAAGTGAAAGAAGTTAGAATTCATTTTAAGAGATATATGATGGTATATATTGGAGTAATTGCCAATGTTTTTGAATATTTCCACTTGATGAAAGAGTATGCTTGAGTAGTTAAACGTTTTACTGAATGAAAAATGTTGTAACTTAAAAATAAATAAGAATAGACTTATATAGTGTAGTGGATGTTTTTGTTAATATTTTTGCCAAGGAAATATGGGTTTACACAGAGCATAAAAAGGTAAAATCAAATGCCATTTAGAATTTCAAAAGTAGAATCTGACCGATGATATATTTATAAGGTTATTTTATAGGTAATGAAGCAAAGATGTTTGTTTTTAATTTATTTTCAGAGACCTCCTTAAACCATTCATTCAGTGCAATATAGACTAAAGCTTCTTTTGTGTGTGTGTGTGTGTGTGTGTGTGTATACATATATATATATGTTTTGGTTTTTTGGTGGGGTGGTTTTGTTGCTTATCGGCATAACCAATTATTATGCTTTGTACTTCTATGCCATTCTTTATCCCAGGATCTCAAACCACTTTATGGACATTAAGTCATTTACACACGGGCATTCCATGAGCAAGATGTGGCAGGTATTATTAGCCCTATAACTTGCCCAGCTATACAGCAAGTAAAGGTAGACTCAGGAATGAAATCCCGGACTCCTGGCTTCTTGTCAGTGTTTCTCAGTCCATGGCTCTCATCACTAGACCATATTTCCTAATTCATATCTGGAAAGTCACTAATATAATTAATGGTAGGAACTGTAACTCACAGCATCGTACATTATTATAATTTATACATTCATGTCTTAAAGACCATTTTGGTTTTCTCATTGAAGCGCATAGGTAATTGGGTTTCACATTTTTTGTTGCATTCATTTTTTCCCCCCTCAACCTTTACAGGTTATTTTCTTTTATTTGAGCTGTGTTCCAAAGACCCAGCATTCAAAAACCTTGGAACGGTTTTGCTCAATTATGCCAACTAATTCTGGACTTGCGCTGAGGTAAGAAAAAATAAAATTCTTTTCGTCTTCTGTTCAGTAGTATAGGCTCTTTATATAAAATTATTCTTGAAAACTTGGTAAGAACAGTCTTTCTTTCCACTGTTTCCTCACTGATATATACACTTTGTTTTCAGCATTATTATATAATATTTAGCTACAAAAGCTACAAAAATCTATAAAAATCAGATCACTTCATAAAACTGTGCAGGTTATAGGGGGCAAATAATTCAAGTAAGTTTACCTGTGTTCCCTGAGCACACACCAGCTATCCTTAGCACATGTATTATAAGCAGTAACTGTGTTTTACATGGAATGGGAATATTGCTTAAAAGGTTTTTAAAGTGTTACAGAGATAGTAGCCAACTACATATATTCTCATTACTCAGACTTATTTTACATAGATCAGTAAACCAGAAAAAACCAAACTCGTTGCCATTGAGTCGATTCTGATTCATAGCAACCCTATAGGACAGAGTAGAATGTCCCATACGGTTTCCAAGGAGTGCCTGGTGGATTCGAACTGCTGACCACAAAGATCAGTAGTTCTCAAATATTAGCATACTTCAGAATCTCCTGGGATGCTCATTAAAAATGCAGATTCCTGAGTTTGAGCCCTCAAACCACATTTGAGAAACATTGATCTAGGGATTTTATACAATGAGTTACAAGGAGGTCTGAGAGTTTTTTTCTCTGCTGTGGCAGAGTATAAATGCATTTTGACCCTCAAATATTGTTCTTTTTAATTTAAAAAGGCACCCTGAAAGTCTGAAATATATTATGCTATCAACTGCGTATGCTTTGGCTTCCACTTTTATAGTCATTCCCACTGCATCAATTGTGTCTTATGAATATAAGCTTGTTTTATGAATTGTAAGGTGCCTAAACTATTTATCAGATAGTCCTTTTTCTTTTAAAATGTTTACATTCCACTTAGAACGTATGTGGGAAAATCCCATGAGATTGAAAAAATTCAGAGGCCTAAAGCTGTGATAAAAATAGCCATAGTGTTTTTATAATAAAAATTCTGAGTAAGCATACTAATCTGCAGAAGTTAATAAATAAAAACATTTACATTGTAAAACATCATCCTTGATAAAATTTGTGATACAGAAAATGTAGTATTTTGACTGGCTTCTATTTTATGGATATTTTGGAATATAGGTAGTTTAATTGTTGGTTTTGTTGATAAATCCCCACGTTTGTATTTTGATACTTTCTTCTTATTTCCTTGTGGTCATACTTGTCTTTTTTTCCACTGGAATAGAGAACTTAATGATTAATCACTGTACTTAATGTTTTAGTTCAAGAAATATTCAAAATTAAGCGTACTTTGTTTAATAAAGAAAAATACTAGGAAATTGCATTAATATATCAAGTCATCATTTTAGAAAATAAGGGGAGAGTTGTTTGGAGAGAATAGTATCCTTTAGGAATACATGGGCCATATTTTAGTTTGCTGAAGATGAGCATAGGTCATGACTGGACTTCCTGCCAGTTTGACATATTCTTGTCCCCAAGATCATTTTTGTAAGAGGCATTCTACAAATGCTTGCTGTATAGCCTTGATGGAATTTAAATGTCCAAAAATTATACCTCAACAAACATTCTGTTTGGGATTCCCTACACTTGCAATGCTTTGTTCATTTTCCTGAATGTACTTTACAGGCTACTTCAACATGAATGGGAAGAGAGCAATGTTCAGATTCTGAAACTTCAAGCCAAGATGTTTACATATAATATCCCAACATGCCTGGCCACCTGGAAAATGTAATGCAACAATAATGTACATGTTTTTATAGCTTTGCTTTTATTTATAAGATTTGCTCCAGACAGGTAAATCTGAAATGACATCTAATTTCTTCCCCCTTGGGCAGATCTCTACTCTAAGTTAGATTTGGTTTTGGTACTTGCTGAGGTTTTATACCAAGAGTGAATGAGTGCTCAGTAACAATTGCCTCTAAAAGTAAAAATGATAGACTTTTAATTTTCCTTGAAGGAGAACAATTAGATAATACTACTGCTATCAAACAAAACATATCTGCTATATATGTTTTAAGACTATCTCTTTTGAAATGTGGGGTTACCCCCACCATAGTCTGATTACTTCTTTCTTTTGAAGGTGTTAGTGCCAGGTTTTTTGTTTTTTGTTTTTTTTTTTAACATTTTATTATGTCTTAGGTGAAAGTTTACACAGCAAATTAGTTTCCCATTCAACACTTCATACACAAATTGTTCGGTGACATTGGTTGCTATCCCCACAATGCAGGTATTTTTCACTAGTAATTATGAGTGGTTTTTTTCATGAAATTTATCTATGTTCAAATCACTGGTCTGTTTTTATTCTTGTAAAGTTGATAAAAATTGTTGAATTTTTCTTTTCACTGTAGGTTACCCTCCTTGGAAGTTTAGCCTGTTACTTTCAGGAAGTTTTGTACTCAGATTCCCACAGTCAGTATTCTGCCAGTGGTGGTATCTCATTTTTTTCAAAGATATATAAATTTTCTTTTCCTTTTTCTATATTCCTTTTTATCTTAGAGCCATTGCTGCTGAGATTGTTCTAAAGGGACAAAGAGAGGTAAGCCATCACTGAATATCAGATGGGTCATATTTTTAAGCTATTCTGCCCCTTTTGTGACTTTTCAATTTAAAAGGATTAAAGCATAAAAGTTATCATTCTGAGAACTCTAAATATTTGGAAACTCCAAAACCCAACTTAATCATTTTGTCTTGAATGTTACTATATTGTGAAATACTGTTCTCTAAACAGTTAGGATTACGAAGGTGTTTTTCATTGTGTTTCCTGATAGAATTGTGTGTATATCTATCTTATAGGTCCACCGTTTATATCAGAGAGCCTTACAGAAGTTACCTCTTTGTGCATCACTGTGGAAAGATGTAATGCTTTTTATCTTTTATTTCATCTTGAAGTTTTCCTATAAATTTTCTGCATGTGCCATATCCATTGATGTGGTAATGCTCAGACTTTAGCTAAATCTTACTTATATGCTTCCCTGTCTTTTACAGCAACTCTTGTTTGAAGCATCAGAAGGAGGTAAAACTGATAACCTGAGAAAACTAGTTTCCAAGTGCCAAGAGATTGGAGTCAGCCTAAATGAGCTCTTAAATTTAAACAGTAACAAAACAGAAAGCAAGAATCACTGAACACTGGGTACAGTCAGTTCTAAGTCCTTATAATAATTGCCAAAGTTATTTGAATGATCCTTCAAGATTAGGCTGATCCCTGGCTAAGGTCTGTGTAAGGCAGACAAACATTGATCATATCAAGTCCCCTACAATATTCTATCCTCAAAACCGGAAGCAATGAACATAACCTTCTTCAGTTGGATAAATGAACTTCCTGTTTGGCCTGCTTCTGGGCCCAGCCAGATTCTCATAACATCATGTACGTAAGTATAGTTCCTCAAAGTGACTGACATTTATTTTCATTTTGTTTTCGTTTTTATTTTATACTTTTCGCCCTTTATGTTGTACTATTCCTGATTCACTTGACACTCTCTGATGCCTGAGAGATTCTTGTTTGGGGTTTAATTTCTAGGGCTGTGTTTACAGTAAAAAGCCAGGCAGTCCCTTTTGATTCTTCCTTTTTAAATCTTTTGAGATTCTTTATTTCAGGATTTAAAACTTTTAAGCAGTCCATCTTAAGGAAAGTGTAACTGCCAAGGCCACAAGTCTGCTAGTTGCACTTGAATTGCTCTAACAGGGTTGTTTATTGCCCTTTCTACGTTCTGGACTCCTTGCTGAGACTGTTTAACTTGAAGATAAAAGAAACTATTGCAAATGCCAGTGCATCAGAACCTAAGAGTGGTCAAATATTATGTGCAATTTTTTTGTAAAGAAATTTTAATTTATAATAAAGTTTAACAGTTTAAAGAACAGTTAATATTTGAACTGCTTTGTATTGAAATACTACTTTGTAGTATTAAAATTGTTTATATACAAAATATTTTGACTATAAGCTAACTTTTTTTTTTTAAATGTTGCTGTCTTTATTCACTTTTCACACTGGTGGGAAAGGGTTGAAATAGAAAGTATGGTTAGTCACCATAACTATATCAGTATTTGCTTACACTGAACCTACTTTCATATAAAGAAAACTTCAGTGAATTTTATTATAATTGTGATAAAATATACATAACCAAACATTTACCAGTTCAGTTTTTGCATGTGTTGTTCAGTGGCATGATTATATTCTTCTTCTTGTGCAACCATTATCACTATTCTTTTCCAAAATACTCCCCGACCATTCAGTGACTTTTTAATTCTTGAGAAGGTAGGTCTTATTCTGTTTTGAGGACAGTGAACAGTTAGGTTTACATTACCATTAAATTCCTTATTCTCAAAACCACAGTCTTTAGAAGGTGCCTTCCAACTGTAGTTTGAATGGTTTGCTTAGTGACATGCTGTGGTATGAACGTATCAAGATGACCAAATATAAAGGAGACCTTGCTTTTTTTTTGTTTGTTTTTTTTGTTTTGTTTTCTCTTCTTTAATCTATATTGGGCTGTTTGCACTTGGCAGAAAAAATTGTCAATGACACACATACTGCCACAAATCTGGTCTTAAAGACATGCAATCTGATAATGAAGGCAGAGGAGCAGGCCTATGAAATGGTAGACAAACTTGTACATCTTTACAAGAGTACTTGGCATTGGTATATGCAGGGTTTCACTCAGGTGGTGCATACAACTCCAGGGGTACAGCCATGCAGGCTGTACACCGTAACAATTCCAGGGGTCACCATTCACATGTCTCCTGTGGTCATACAGGTAGGGGCCCTAGCATATGTTGGGTAGCTGCTTCCTTTTTGATCAGTTGTCATATTGCTGTTTAAAATCATGAAGCTGTCTTATAAAAGTTACGTGCCTTAAAGATTCCCTCTTAGGTCACCTTTTCTTCCTCTGTATTTACAAACTAACCTCCACATAAAAATAGCAAACACTGCTTAAGAGCTAGTTATATGCTCCTGACATCTTTCCATATTCAGTTTTACTTGTTTTTAATGAAGTGCTTTTCAGCAGGTAATAGTTAAAATATTAAACAAAACTTTGGGTTAAAGCTGATACGGTTATTACCGTAACATGAATATAATATTGTACTGATTAACTAAAATTTTACTTTGGACAGAGTACTGTCATATGGTGGGAAAAGCCTAGTCATGGAGAACTGTGATTCCTCACACCACCACTTCCACCATCCCGGGACGGGGGGCGGGGGCGGAAACACAACAAAAGAGGCTTTTTATCTCTGATAAAGGAATTGGAGTGGCAGATTGCAGTGTATATTTATGTTTTTTTGTTCATTTTAGAGAACATAGCCTAATATTTCTATTTGCCTTTTAACGGAAAGTGGACCTTGTAACATTGTTGTCCCTGAGTTATCTAAGGCGGTTTGCTTTCAATTAAAGAGCGTATAAACCTGCATCATAAAGCAAGCAAGAATCTCCAGGTGCAACATCTAAGAGCTAAAAGCACTAAGCAGACAAGCAAAACAGGTGATTAAGACAGACAACAAATATAGAGGGACTTTATTGAAGATTGTAGTTCAAATATTTATTTTGTTCACGGCTGTTGAAAAAGTAGGAACATGTGGTTAGAATGTTCAAAGCAGAGCCAGTATTCTTGGTTAAAGCTGTCAGGTGTTCACAGAAAAGTCATAATTTCCTTAAATTTCCTTTTATATCTATGTGTTAACATTAGTGTGAGGTAACAAAAAAAAAAAAACAAACCCATTGCTGTTGAGTTGATTCCAACTCATAGTGACACGGTAGGACAGGGTAGAACTGCCCTATAAGGTTTCCAAGGAGCAGCTGGTAGATTCAAACTGCCAGCCTTTTGGTTAGGAGTCAAGCTGTTAACCACTGTGCCATCAGGGTTCTGGGGGGAATGATAGGGAAATATAATTTTGGTGACTTTTGGGGTTTGGAGAGTATGCCTGCAAAAGTATCATTGCCCCTCAGTGCAAATTAACAGTAATTATTATACAAAGTAATTTGGAACAAGAGCTGTTCAAGAAAAGGCAGACTTCTAATGTTTCTGATATTGTTTCTTTTTTGTTTCTCACAATTGGGTCTATATCTTTCCAAGCTGTGGTGCTTCTTAATGTAGTTGGTAGAGCTAAGCTGAGGTTTTTTTGTTTATTTCTTTAGGGTTCTATTCCATAAGCCACCAAAAGATCCCTTCCATTTTCTGCAGGTGTTCCTCAGTTGTGCATTTCACATTTGGGGGCCAGGGAGCAGTGAACAGCCACCTCCCCATCCACCACCATTCACATAACCATTCTCAGTAATAAGTATGCAGTACTTTTAAAGCACTACTTGGTTGAGATAACTGCTATGGATGTGAAAAGATTTTTCCTTTTTTTCTGTCTGACATCTTGGAGAGAGAGAATGGAAAGATGTATCTTTTACAGATGGTAAAATGGATATAGAATTTGTCTCAATTTTCACTTAGTTACCTTCACAAGAGGGATCCCAGAACAGTTTCAGAAGAGAATCAGGCATTTTTTCTTTCCAGAATGAATTTGAGCTCTGTACAAGCACTGTCAATACAGAAATGAATAAAGGAGTTCCAAAGGTACTTACAGTCTAACAGAAGCAGAATAGTATATGCAAAGGAAGTATTTCTAAAGGGGCTCCCAACTTGAGCTGGGGATCAGGAAAGCCTTCCTGGATGGAAGTGAATTATTGGTTAAGTCAGAAAATAGGATGAGGAAAAATTGGGAATAGTAATATTATTTCTGGAGCCCCTGGGTGGTGCAAACAGTGCACTTGGCTGCTCCTTGAAAGATTGGAGATTTGGGTCCAGCCAGAGACACCTCAGAAGAAAGGCCTGGCCATCTCCTGAAAAATCAGCCCTTGAAAAACCCCATGGAGCACGCTTCTACTCTGACACTCATGGGGTCACTATGAGTCAGAATTGACTCAAAAGTAACTGGTTAATATTATTTCCAAAAATTATGTGCCACTTATACCTGAATATTGTAGAAGGATCAACACGTTTAAAAGCCTGCATTTTTAAGATTTTTCAAAAAAAACAGCCTCATCTTTCTAGAAGAGAATCCTGGGGACACCTTGTGCTTCGAAATCCATGAGCATGACTGGCTAGGAGTAATCTTACCAGGCCCCAGTGTTGAAATTACCCACATTAAACAGCCTTGATGTGGAAAGTCTGATTGGAATTATAACTACTACTAGCTTAAGGAGCCCTGGTGGTACAGTGGTTAAAGCGCTTGGCTGCTAACCACAAGGTCAGTAGTTCGAACCCACCTGCTGCTTTGTGGGAGAAAGATGGCAGTCTGCTTCCATAAAGATTTACAGTCTTTGAAACCCAATGCGCAGTTCTACTCTGTCCTGTAGGGTTGCTGTGGAAACCCTGGTGGTGTAGTGGTTAAGAGCTACGGCTGCTAACCAAAAGGTCAGCAGTTCAGATCCACCAGATGCTCTTTGGAAACCTTACAGGGCAGTTCTCTTCTGCCCTGTAGGGTCGATATGAGTCGAAATCAACAGCAACGGGTTTGGTTTTCTTTTTTTTTAATGGGGTCGCTATGAGTTGGAATTCATGGCAGTGGGGTTTACTATTAGCTTTACTTTTTTTTTTTTTTTTTAAACTTATTGCTACTTTATTGGAGCCCTGGTGGTACAGTGGTTAAGAGCTAAGGTTGCTAACCAAAAGGTCAGGCGTTCGAATCCACCAGTGCTCCTTGGAAATCCTTTGAGGCAGTTCTGCTCTGTCCTGTAGGATCACTATGAGTCGGAGTTAACGGCAGCGGGTTTGGTTTTTGGTTTTTTCAACATTTATTAATATCCACTAGCAGAATACTGTGTCAGTCCCAGTAAAGGTTACAAATTATATTCTATTACTCTCTTTAAGAGCCATGGTTATTTTTTGTATGTTTACATGGAAGAACAACCCAGAGATGGCCCAAAGAGTCTTCAGTGCTTTAAATTATTTTTTCAAATCATATATTTTAGCCCAAATACCAGAAATGTTTGTAATCTACGTGTGTTCTAGTGCTGCTGTAACAGAAATGCCACAAGTGGATAGCTTTAACAAAGGGAAATTTATTCTCACAGTTTAGGAAGCTAGAAGTCCGAATGCAAGGCGGCAGCTCCAGGGGAAGGCTTTTTCTCTCTGTTGGCTCTGGGGGGAAGGTCCTTGTCATCAATCTTGCCCTGCTCTACGAGCTTCTCAGTTCAGGGACCCTGGACCCAAAGGACACGCTCTGCTCCTGGCACTATTTTCTTGGTGGTGTGAGGTCCTTATATCTCTCTGCTGGCTTGTCTCTTATATCTCAAAAGAGATTCATTTAAGACATAACGTAATCTTGTAAATTGAGTCCTGCCTCATTAACATAACTGCCACTAATCCCACCTCATTAACATCATAGAGATAGGATTTACAACACAGGAAAATCACACAATACTGGGCATCATGGCCTAGCCAAGTTGACATTTTTGGTGGACACTATTCATAAAAACACAGAAGTAGGCAAAGCCAGGAATAAAATAGTTTACTTGGGGAGCAAAATGATTTGCACAAGCTTAGAAGGGATATGTGCTTCCTGGTTTCATCAAGAAAGCAGAAGTTGCAGAACATCTGAGGCTAATACAATTGGTCTTAAGTAATGTGATTTTGTGGTGAGCGCTTGTGAGTCTGAATTTTTTTCTCCCGCCTAAAGACAAAACTTCCTGCATAGAAGGTAGTGAAGAGACAATGTTAAAAATATGTGAACCAATTACATCACAAATAGCATAGAATAACATGAATATTTTAATTTTATGCAAGACTGTAATAAAATTTGAAAGCCATCCAAAATACAAACATATCTTCAAGGGCCACCTTCTATGAATTAAGTAAAAATTTGAATCTAAACATGAAAACCATTTGCACAGTCATTCTTAAAGAGTATGTACTGCATTTGCCCTTTATTTGGTAATTTGAAAACTTGAAGACTGATTATCAACTCAACAAAAATCAAAGGTAGGTTTATGATATTGTGTGTTCACTCAGGAAAATTAAAATCTTGAAAATGTTCTTACCTAGTAAAGTAAGCCTTATGAAAGAAAATGATAGCCAGGGAGCTGAACAAATTAGGATAGTGATAGAGAAGACTCAAGAGCTGTTTGCATTAATGGGTGTTATCAGGGCATCTGTTGCCAAGACTAAAACAAACACAACTTGGCACATCATGCAGTCAAATTTCTGACTGGATAGATTTGGCACTTTGTGCGAGTTGAAATGGAGCTACAAAGAAAGTTTCAGAAAATAGAAGAGTGTCACCGATGTGAATTATGAAAAAAAAGCACACCTAAAAGGTCTGGGTATTAGATTTAGCTCCACCACTGTCTAGCTGTGTAATCATGACAGGCCATTTTATTGTTCCTTGTCTCTTATTTCCACATCTATGAAATATGGAAATATATGCTCTTAGGGATGTTGAAAGATCATATTACATTATAGAAAATATCTTTTAAAAGATAAATATTTTATAATGGGTTTGGGGATATTTTCTAAAATTTTGAGGACAGAGATGTCACAAAATAATAATTTTGTAAGTCTCAGTTGATGAACATATGATCCTAGCAATGCTCAAGCATGAGTTACTGTTTCATAATTAAATACAACAACCTGCCATCTAAATTCAGTGCCTCATTCCTCATCCCCAAAATAGCAGGGATTCAGTAGTTCTTGTCATCTGAAAACACAATAGGTTAAATTCAGCTAAACATTTGTGGACCTATGCCTAAAGAACATTACATCATAGATTACCTCATTTAATACTGAGGACAGAAAAAAGTAAGTTCTTACAGCTACAGAATTAAGTGACTTGAGTAGTAACATTATGTTGAAGCTGAGAAGTATGGGAGGCTGGGCAGTGAGATAGCTACATATTTACATATTTAGGGGGTGGAGCTGAGAAGACGTAAACTTCAGAGGAGAAAAGTATAGCAAAAGTCCTTAAGTTCTCTTTGGGTTCACGTTGGATTCAGATCCTGGCTATATGATCTTGGGAAGGTCTACTTAAATCCTCTAAGTCAACATTTCTTGGTTTGTAAAATGGAATTAATACAAGTACTTATCGCACTTGGGATTATGAGGATAAAATAAGATCATAAAGATGCTTGGAACAGTGTAAATACTCAATAGCATTAGCTAGCCATGGCAGATATGAGACTGTAGAATTTGTTTGAGGGAAAGAAGCTTGGAAATTTGAGTTAGGGTAGTGTTTTGGCGTAACAAGAAAAGGCTTGTGGTGGTGGGGTCTAATTACTTGCTTAATTTTTTTTTTTTTTTTCCTGAAAGGAAGAACAAGTAGGGACAAAGAAAGTGGCGTAATCAAGATTTAGTTTGGACTGATAGTTATTTGGCAAAATAAAGCTGTAATGAAGGTTTTGAAACACAATGGTGTTGATGGATGGGGATAGCACTGACAAAGACATGAACAGAGTGTGGCTCTTTGAGTAGGATATCCCTCAATGTGGGGAATGTACTGAAGAAAGATTATAATGACCTAAGCCTTGACTCGACGTGTCTGTCAGTTTGTTGTACTGTGAGGGCTTGAATGACATCAAGGACATAATACATGAAGAAAGCAAGAGGTCATTAAAAAGGAAGGAAAGAAAAGACTAAAATGGATGTCAGAAGAGACTCTGAAACTTGCTCGTGAATGTCGAGTAGCTAAAGCGAATGAAAGAAATGATGAAGTCAGAGAACTGAACAGAAGATTTCAAAGGGTGGCTCCAGAA